AAGTTTAAGGTCTAGTGGTCAATTGCATCATTAATTTAGACTGTCTTGTTTATAAATATTCAGCCAAGTTAAAAATGTTTAAACCACTTGTCAGTGGTATTACTTATATGTGTTCTTAAACTTACACACATCATGGCATAAAACATAACCTGAAATACATTTCTGGAGACAGTACCACAAGTCTAGCATAGACATTGGTATTAAACATTAGTTAGCATCAACACAGTTCATTACAAAACTAATGTGCCATATGAAAAAAAATGAAGACACAAGAAAATATTATGTAAGATTGCATGTGGTGGGTATTTGTAATAAAAACATTAAGTTGATTAAAAACTATTTTAAGTTTCAAACTAAAGACAAACAAAATCCCACTTTTAAATGATAAAAGGAATATTTAGAAGTTATATGTAACAAAAATGTGTACTTGTAGACTTGTTATATGAAAAAGAAAAATGTAAACATGTGACTTGTGTCATTAAATTTTGCAGTTTTACTGGACATCTGAGTGCAATCATTGCTCTAGTGACATGATTAATAGTAACGTTTTTTCCCATTCACAACTTTGACATTAAATAAAACCAGTTTTTTAGTTTCTGTATTATAAATAATCCTATCTAAGAAGATACAAACATTTTCTGGTTAATTCTAAAATACAAAATGAAATCAAAAGCAGGTATTAGATTACTAGTTAGCCATGCCCCTTTGTTTACTACAGTTTGTTAAGCCTCTTGTAAAGTAATTTAGTTACTTCAACATTTGAAACATATAAAAGGACACTTGCTTAACAAAACCAGTGACTTTTGAAAACCAAAAAAAAATAAAAAAAAATAAATTTCACAAAAGTGCTAAAATAGGATTTAACATTTATTAAAAAAAAATAAATTCCTGTTTTATTTGATGATAATCTTAAAACTTACTTTGATTAGGCTATAGATAGCCCACGAGGATTTTATTTTCTAATTAGGACTTGCACTAATTCTGTTTTTGAACTCTTATGTATAACTAACTTTTTAGGGAGCTTTAAGAGTTTTGTGTTATTTTTTTAATTTTTAATAGTGTTGAAAAAATTATGTCTAGTGTTGTATGTACTATAGTCACAAATCTTCTTACATTTTTTATTGTTTTAACATATTGTAATTATCTAAAGTTTTGTAAAGTGCAAACACAAACATTAGCTCACATTTTATATGAGAGTACAAACCTCAACCTCTTTTAAGAAATATATGATTGCCAAATTGTAATTTCAATCACTTAAAAATGGATTAGAAACGTTTACTACTACTAAAACAACACATAACCTCTTGAGCTAACTTAATCTTTTCTGCATACTCCAAAGTTTCAAATATTAATTTTTTTAAGGTTTTAGTATTTAAAGTCTAATTTTATTCTATTTGACATCAGTACATAGATCCTCTTTCTGCAATTGACCATTCTACAATTCAGTATGCTGATTTTGCAAAAAATTTTTATGAAGAGCATGAAGATATTGCTCAGTTAACTCCATCAGATGTTCATGAGTTGAGGAAAAAGTTGGGAATCCAAGTTTCTGGTGCAGCACCACCAAAGCCAGTGACAAGCTTTCCACATTTTGGGTTAGAAGAAAGGCTAATGAAAGCCATTCGGAAATCTGAATATACTCAACCCACACCAATTCAAGCTCAGGTTGGTGTTTTTTTGTATGATTAGAACTATATAGTCATTACATATATAGTATCTCTAATACCAAGTTTATTATTAAAATATCAGAAAGCAACACTATTAAATCTATCACCATGGCTTGATCAAACTGCCCCTATCACTATCTTGTTTCAAAAAGGTATTTAAAAAATTCTGAATCTTCATTTTTCTGTGTCATGTGGTGCATCTGAGCTCCAAATTCTTTACTCTAGAATTTTCTAACTTCTAAAATAAACTGCTGCAGTTTCCAACCTGTTAGAAACACAAACCATTCATAATTACAAGCATGAACCTAAAATTTGAATCATCTTTATTTGCTGAGACAATAATATACTTGTCAAACCCACCAAAGAAGTCCCTCCTGTCCTTATCTGCTTTCGAAATTGTTTTGCTGATCAACTTTACATGGGTGTTGAACATATTTATGACGAATAGAAAGAGCAGATTCTCCTTCACATAAAACCTAAGATTTATTGTTTAGTTTTGGAAAAAAGGAGGTAGTAGAGAAAAAAAATGCTGGTCTGTATTGAGAAAAGTACTTGCTTCAAGCACTAATAGAATTTTTTTAATTTGCTTATAGCTTAATTAGAAGGCTGGATAAGCTATGGTAGTTTCGGGACATTCTATTCTTGTGAATGTTGTAGTTTTTGAATTTTAAATGGATTTGAAAGCTACATAAACTCTTTTTTTTTTTTTTTGTACAATCAACCTAGTGAGGAAAAGTGAGGTTTATGGCAGTTATTTCAACCAGTCGAGTTGTTAAAGAAAAACAGATGATGGTCTTCGGCTATGATCTGTTGTTGAATCAAACTTTCCTCTAGCCTAAAGTCAGGCAATAAAATTATAAAAAAACAGATGTGAAAAAGGATAACTGTTGGAACTGTGGAGATAAGTAATTTCAAAACCTGAGATAAATTATATATTCAAAGAAGGGGGGTATTGTTAATTTTATTTTTTAGTTTTCATCTTTTCATTTCACTGAACATTAATGATTTTGATACATTTGATTAGGATGAGGGTAGAGAAAATAAAAGGTAAAATACAAAATTTTAAGAAAAAAAAATGTCATTCTTAGCATGAAAATCACATTTTACTCAAGACTGACTCAGTAAATTCTCATTTAAATTCACAAACAAATCTTTAGTTAATATACTGTATCTAATATTTTGTGAATAACAAACTTGTTTACTAAGAGCTTGCCAAATTTCATGAAGATATACTTAATACATTCAGGGTTATAGTATGTATAGTTTCTTTGTTACAAAATAGTTCCATAAAGCTAGAATCATCCAACTTCATATTGAAAGTGTTAAGGCAAAATAATACCTATAAGAAAAGGGACAAATTGTAAGAAAGAATGCATGTGCTTGTTCTTAGGAATTGCATATGTATGTGATTCTTTCATGACACATCTAGTTGTTATCATTATGGTCTTAATGATTAAAATGCCATTGTTTTAATTCTGTAATGCTTTTGTACCAATTTTGAATCTCAGTTCATCATTATATATATATATGAATATTTTTGTAACTCCATCTTAGTTCTACAGAAGTAGACAGATTTAATTTATCATTTTTTAAAAATTTTATTGAATTTTAATTTGAAGAGATGTAATTAATAAATGTGATTTAAATATTTGAATTTTAATATTGTTACTGGTCATTCTATTTTATAAACTATACAATTGACCAAGGGTCTTCAAGTGGAGATTGTCTGAATAAGTTTATATATTGTAATGGAACTCTGTAGTCCTATATAACCTATTTTAAAACTTTTTTTTTATTCTTTCGTGAAGATGTTATCATGGTGCAAGCCATTGGTAGGTTTAACTCTCTCAATATGGGCTCGGTTAATTTGACTGACCACATGACCTTTTTATACTTGTTTAGAGTCTTTATAGATTTAATACTTATAACTCTCAATATGAAATTTGGCAGTCTTTCAGTTAACATTACAAGTTTTTCACATACAAAAAAATCATATTTTTAGTGAAGATTTGTCCATGAATATATTATTTGTTTTGAATAGTCCGTGTGCAAAGTAACTTTTATGTTAAAATTAAAAATACTTTTCCTCATCTCAAAAATCTCAAATTTCCTTTGTGTAATCCCTAAAACCTCCTAAATCCATTTCAAACGATTTTTTTAGTAAACCTTTATAGTTTACGTTTTATTCTCTCTATCCTATCTCAAAATGGGATTGGTCAATTCGACCGACCTTGTAACCACCGAAAAAAAAAAAATGAAATAAGCCTAAATTACCCTTTTTTTTGCTTTCTAGAAGGACTTCAAATTGTAACATGAAACTACATTCGTTTATCCTAAGTAGCTCTATGTTCGTAACATTATACATCTATTTATAATTAAATTTTATTGTTTTATTGCCTTTTGAACTGTGTCTGACTACTATCTGCGGCATAAAAAGTTGTAAATCACTCGTAGAACGTGCAGGTCATGTTACGAGATCGAATTACATTACCCATGAGCTACTACAAGCTGCTCGATTGCATGCCTTGTGAACCTTTGTAATTATATTATTATTTTACCTAATCTAGTCTTAAATAACTTGAAAAGATCCGTATTTTAGATTTTATTTACTTTTATAATAACAGATATAGAATGAATATGAAAAACAAGAAATAAAGTACTTACCCAATCTTTTTTTTCTCTTGCTCTCGATTTTTGATGACAGTTATGCCTAATTTTTTATAGTACTAAGAGTAATGCACTTAATAATTTTTATTTAATTAAATAATGCACCAAAGAAAATAGACTAATAACATGCAAAAAGTAGACAAATTCTCTTACTTCTGGCTTTCTAACTATGTGGCAAGGACCATTACAAATTCATCCAAGCTAGTTGTTAACTTTCCCACGGGAATGATGTTGCTAATCTGAGTGAAATTGACTTCTAACTGTTCAGAATATAACATTATACAATACGTCATTTGATAGATGAAAACTTTGACTTTCTATTGGTTATAGGTAATATATATAATGAAACGTAAGAGAGAACTATCAATGAATTCTGAAAAAGAAGATGTGACAGGTGGGTGTGGCAGGAGAGGTCTGATTTTATATTCGATAGCTCTGTAACCAAACAAAATTGAAGACTATAAGAATTATGGTTTGTCTGAGCAATAATGATTTTATAGAGAGTAAATTTACATTTAATTTCATACTTTTTTGAGGGGTGGTGGATAAAATAGGGATGATGACATGCTAAGAGAAAATGTGGCATGTGGGTCACTAGTGGAAATTTAGGATTTTTTTAAATGTTGCTCTGTAGAATTAAGAACTTAAAACTTTTATACTATTAAAATATGAATTATTAACTAAGATTTTATGCTATTCTTATTGGTATAGCACAAACAAAAATAGTTTAATGAAATTTTGAATGTAAGACACTAAAACCTTGTATCATGCGCAGTAAAGAATACCTAGGGAGAAAAAGTTAATACAAAAAAACTTAAAGAAAGAATTGATATTTTCAAGTTTTAAGTTTAGTCTTGAATCACTTAAAGCTCTGAAATTCGTGTCAAATGGCACATACAGTATTTTCACACTTTGTCATGCACATATTGGCACCCACAGCCTAGCTAACTAGACTAGAGTTTGTATGTATAGTACATGCACTGTACATTTAGCATTGAACCATTTTCGAACTCTCTCAATACAGGCTCTGTCCCAAGGACCGACTACGTGACCATTTTTATTTGTATATAGTTTTAATACTATAATTTTTAATACAGTAAGTGTATCTTCACAAAATTTGTCAGACATTTAGTAAACATTACAAGTTGTTTGTACACAAAATCAGTTTTTTAATAAAGTATTTTTAATATAGATTTGTCTGTGAATATATAAAGTATTTTTTTGACCAGTCCAAATGCAAAATGATTTTCATATTTAGATTAAAAACTCTTTTCTCCATCTCAAAAATCTCAAATGTCATTTGCATAATCTCTGTAACCTTCTAAATATATTTCAACTGTTTTTTCAGTAAAACTTTATATTCTATCATTATTATTTTCTCTAAACAAAATCTATACAAGGTTGGTTAATTTGACTGACCACCACCAAAAAAAAAAAAGTCGAAATAAATCTAAATTATCCTTTTTTTCTTTCTAGAATGACTTCAAATTGTAACATCAAAGTACATTTGGTTATCCCAAGTAGCTTTAAACTCATAACATTATACATTTATTTATACTTAAATTTTATTGTTTTATTGCCCTTTGAGTTTGAACTGTGTCTAACTACTAGTACTATTTGCACCATTATAATACAAGTTGTAAATCAAGATGAGGAGCTGCAGCTTACATTATGCTTTAGAATTACATTACCCACATGCTACTTCCAGCTGTATGAGTACTTGCCTCATGAAAAATTTTTATTATATTATTTATTTTACCTAATCTAGCCTCAACTAATGTAAAGAGTTTCCTATTTTTACATTTTAGTTACTTTTATAATAATAAATACAGAATACACATGAAAAACAAGAAATAAAGTACTTACCTGGGCCTCTTTTTTTATTTGCTGTTGACTGTTGATGACACTTAACCTTACTTTTTTATACTAATGGTAGTAGTGCACCAAATAATGTTTATTTCATTAAATAATGCACCAAAGAACATAGGATAATAACATGCAAAAAGTAGACAATGTCCCATAACTATCACAATTTTTCTGGCTTCCTAATTAATTCATTCTTGCTGGTCGATGTGTTGTACTGAAAGATAAATTAATATTTTTTGTAAAAAAAATAATGTAATGTAATACATCATTTGATAGATGAAAACCTTGGCTTTCTATTGGTTAAAAATAATATAGTATTAAATGTACGAGAGAACTATTGACAAATCCTGAAAGAGAGGATGTGACAGGTGGCAAGAAGGGTCTGATTTTTTATTTGATGGCTCTGTAACCAAACAAAATTGAAAGCTATGAAAATTATGCTATATCTGAGCGATGACAATATAATAATCAGTAATTTACATTAAATTTCATACTGCATGGAGGGGTGGTAAATAAATTAGAGAAGAGGGGATGCCTAAAGAAAATAATGTCACATTTCTCACTAGGAGAAATTCAGGAACCTATTTTCAATATTGCCTTATAAACTTAAGAAACTTGTATACTATTAAAATATGGATTATTAGCTACGATTTTATGCTGTACTAATTGGTATAGCATGAACAACCAAAAAGTAGTTCAATTAAGTTTTGAATACAACTCACTAAAAACCTTGTGACAAGCACAGTAAAGGATGCCTCTGGTGAGAGGGGTAATTACTGCTGAAAAGATATTTTCTTCTTTAAAAAGCCATAGAGACCATGTTGTGAAGAGAGTGATGAGGCCTCACCAAATAAAAGAAATAAACTGGTTAATCGATTGTTACATTATTTTGTGACAGCTGAAGTGTTTGTTATTTCTTTTGTTTTGAAGCTTTACTTTATATACCAGAAATTATTTTGTTCATGAAATGCTATGTGTGGTACCATTAAATATTAGGGTTTAAACTATATAAAAGTATTATTAGAATAAAAACATACCATTTACCTCTTTTCATTAGTGGATGTCTTTGCAAAGAGTTAAGACTTTTAGTGCGGGATTTAGTTACCATAATGTGTTAAAATGATGAATGTTAAAAAGATGCTAAGCAGTATTTGCTAATTGCTAATCAAATTCAGTATAGATTAGCAGTTTCTGCTAATCAAATCCACTAAACTATTTTGGCCTCTGTAAGGGTTTAATTTTCAGTTTTTTTACTGTTTCATTGGTGTTTTGACTTCTCCATATCATTGTTGGCTTATTAAGTTTAATTATTTTGTTTTTATATGTATTTCAAACTTTTTTTTTTATTAATTAGACTTTTATTTCCATTCTTCTCTGTATGGTTTGACTAACAGTTCTTTTAAATTAACTGGTAAGTGGCTGGTCCGGCATAAACAGATATTAGTATATTTCAATACTGTTGTTATTAATATAGGCTTATATTAAAGAAAATGTAATCTGGGGTTAAGGGGAAAATTAATAGTCAAACAAAGTAATTTATACAAATACTGTTCATGAATTTATAAAAATGTTCAACCATAAAAGCATATCCTGAGATATTAGAATTTAAATATGTATGGTACTGCAAATATTGATCATTTGTGAAATTTCCCAAGTTATTAAAATTTTGCATTGTAATGCTTTAGTATAAAGTAAGACTGTTTGCAGTTTTTACATACAAAATTTAAGATATTTGAATTATGTAATGATTTACTATAGAAGGCATTATTATATCCAAACTATTTTATTTAAAGCTCACAATTACAGGAAGAGCCAAAATATTTTATTATTACCAGTTTTACATTCAGAATTTCAAGACCAAAGCTTTGAATAATAATTTTGTTTCATCTATAAACATTAATATTACAAGTTAACTATAAAAATTAGCTTGCAAAGAGAAAATTGTTTGACAAATTTTGTAGTGCAAAATGCTTTATTAAACACACTATTTAAAATAGAAACTAAGATATAGTTTCAAATTTAACAATATTTAAATTATTTAATGAAAGAAATTTATCATACAATTAAAAATTTATTTAGCATTAGGCTTATAAAGGATAATCTAGTTTCACACTTTCACATGTATATATATGATTTACCTTGTAAACATAGCTATAAATATATCAAATTTTAAGTTTTAGAATCTACTTTACATAAGATATATCCTACTCTGTGTTTTTAGTACAAATAAGAACAATAGTTTTTGATTTGTACACTTTAATAAAATGCATAGTTGTGTTATAACTCATATGTTTAATGTTGTAATTTATATGTTGGGTAGAAAGAGCTGTGGGTCTTAATGATGATCTTCAGATCTCAAGGTTTTCATGTAAGCCTAGAGTACCTAGTAGGTTCTAAGGATGTGATGTCCAGTTTTTTTCTAGCACTTTCAAAGCTAGATTATAAATATGAGATAAGAGTGAAGTGTGTAGAGCTACTTTTAAGATAGAGAATTGAATCATTCTGTCTGATTTCATGAGGTGTTTAGATCTGTGTTTTCTGTCATGCTAATTGAGTTACTTTATGCAAGTAAACTGATTTTTGTTAGTCCTAGTATTGTTAGAGAGAGTTACATCATTTGTAACGTGGCCTATAAGAGTTTAAGACTTCTTACAAGTGTGAAAGCTTGTAAAAACGTTAAAGGAGGAAATAAGTTAATTTTTTTTTATCACCTGGACTGGATGTTGAATTATTTTCACCAGATAATTTAAAAGAACTTACCAATGAAAAAACACCATAACAACAGTTCATTCAATATTGAGTATATTTATAAAGATGCCACCCAATAATTTATTTGATTAGTATATATACAAAAGTCAGTGTACTTGTATTTATATTTTTGTTTTCAAATAATTGAATTTCCTTCTTTTGTTTCATTTACATTTAGAATTTTTTTTATGCCTTTCACTTTTTAGTTTTATTGTTGTTATTATCATATTGACAGTTTCTTAGCTTGATTTTAACAAATGTTTCAATTACAAATGAGTTGATTAAAACATTCTAAAAAACTGAAAATTTTATAATGTGTATTTTCCAAATTTTATATTTTTATTTGCTGAATGCCAAGTGTTTTTGAAAGCTGTGAAGGACATACAAATTCTGAGCTGTGGTTCTTCAGTGATAATGTTCAATTTTAGAGATTTTACAGGAGAGTTGCATTAAACTAAAATTAAACCTAGTTATTTGAGATGCACATGCAAGGTATTGTAATGTAGCATAAGTGATATCAGAATAACCAACATTAAGGTTTGGTATGAAAATGAGCTTAAAAGTATCAAATGGTAGAGTTAAACTTACATCTTTATTCCTGTGCATTCTATCGGGCAAAAGTAATGGTCAAGTTACCATTTGTATACCAGTTTGATTCATTGGATGTAAAATGAAAGCACTATTTCTAGGATTTTCAGCAAATTAAAGTGTCATTTGATGCGATTAAAAACAGTTTGTTTTTGATAAATGACATTTAGCTGTAGCTTATTATTCCAAAAAAAGTAAGTATGAAAAGCGTAGGCCAGTAAAAAATACCATAACACTGCTGGCTTTACTTGTCACTCAGTAAATGTGTGTTTGGTCATCAAGAACTGTAATTGAATGCTTTTGAAGTATTCACAAACAGAATTTCTGTCTTTACTTGTCATTCAGCAAATGTGTGATTAATCATTAGAAACTGTTTAATCATAAATCCAATTAGTTTGGTTTTATTTATTTGGTGCATGTAATAGTTGTTTGTATTTATAACTGTTAAAGTCAGGGAAAACATTATAAAGATTTAATCTCTATTTATATGTATTGTATATATAGATTTATACTAAACTTATAATGGTATTAAGTAATGCAAAACATTCCAAGTTGTAGTAAAGTATTTTATTGTGGTAGCTAGCATGATGTTGAAATGATCTGAAATTGTATATTTGTATACAGGGAGTGCCTATTGCCCTAAGTGGAAGAGACATTATTGGTATAGCAAAAACTGGGTCGGGAAAAACTGCTGCATTCATTTGGCCCATGATTGTTCACATTATGGACCAGGTAAGCATTTTGTATGCTATTATAAAGCTGAAGTGACTGTATGTAGAGAATAGACTGTTAAAAATAAAGGATGATCGTGATTAGGAATGTAATAGGTCATTAGTGTTAATAGAATAAAATTCAGTCAGTTATGTATATATTCTGTAGCAATTCAGTAATAGCAACCTTTTTATATGAATGGTATCTTTTTTTAGTTCTTCTCTTTATGATTCAGTCTACGAATTTTCCTTTTAAGTATAGTATTTAAACCATTTTTTACCATGTGAAAAACTGTCTTCATCATATTGCATGCAATGAAATGCTCCTTTTTTTTATCCTGAAAAATTGTTTCTGATAGGAATTTGCTACTAATTTGGATTATCTAATGCACTCTGGAGTTGGTTAACAAAGTGCGTCCCAGAAGATGGCTTGTAACAGGCAAAAACTAGGTTGTTAATAATGTTTGACCACATTTCTGGTGTGAAATAGAGTAATACTTAAATGCAATAGCACTGATCTTCTATGATAAGTGAGGGAAATGAATTAAAAATATATTTTAATGACAAAAAAAATGTTGGGGATTTCCTCTTTAGTAGTGTTGGTATGATTTTGATTTCAACTGTTTAAGTATTGTAGCTGTAGATGCTAGATGTAAAGGTGTTTGATAGCATAAGATGCTGATTTTATGTGTGGGCATGTAACCCCTTACATAAATATGTGCTTGACTAAAAGAAGAAAATTTTATGCTGATGAAAATATGAAAAAGATTGAGTTTTATGACACATAATTATATAATCATTTTAAAAGTTGTATTATACTAATTGATGTAAATCTAGTAATTACTGCTTATGTATTCTAGTGTGAAAATATAGAATTATAAATTAATTGTTTTTTAATAATATTTTCTTTGTTTTCAAATAATCTAAGATGTTTTAAGCTTAAAAGATGTTATTAGGAATTAGAATTTTTTGTGGATCTGAAGATTTCCACTTTTTTTGGGTGAGGGGAATCAATGGGATCTTTTTGAGATCAGTGGAAATTAGTAATAGTTTGTCATCAAGAAGGATTTAATTTTTTTTTCTTCTGAAGACGTTATTGTGAGTGAATTTGAAATTGGATGGTTTATGATATCTCTGCAAGAATGTTAATTTATTTTATAATTTTATAATATAACATGTTTGACACTTTTCATTTCTTGTTTGTATCATATAAACCTACCATGTCAAATTTTGTGAATTAGAGTTTGGAACTAGTTTATACAGATTTCTGTAGATATTTAAGTCTTTTGAATGTTTCACATGCACAGATATAAAGTACTTCTATTCAAATGCTTCTCAGAACATTTACAGCCTTCAGAATTTCAGGTTATCATGCTTTCTTTTCCTGCATTTTTGCCAATGCTGTAAATTCAACTTGCAGTCTGTCAGTCTTGGGATTGAAACCTATTGCAAAATATGATCAACCTTTCAGCTGTGGGACATAATAGTGTAACAATTCTAATATTTCTTGGTGAAGAGTAGCTTAATAGTTGGCAGTGGATGGTGTTGAGTAGCTGCCTTCCATCTAGTTTATCACCTTCAAAATTAAGAACAGTTAGTACAGATAGCCTTTGAGGTTTTGCATGAATTATGGACTTTAAATTTTGGTAAGTGGGCAAAAGCTACTTTTCCTTTAAGAAATGAAGTGAGAGGTTAAATTTGCAGGCCTGCAAGTGCCACTATGTTTAATCAAATGTAATCAATTATTAGTTCAATTATAGAAAGTAAGCTTTATTAAACATACTGTCACCCTTGCAGGCCTGCAAATTTAAACTTGTGTGCCTTTCACTTTTTATCTCCAAAGGAATTTATATTTCATTTGTCTCAAAGGAGAATTAATTCATTTTGGAAAAACTAAGTAAATATTTGGTATAATTACTTTTTTTTATAAGTGAAAAGTATATGAACAGCATGCAAATAGAATATAGTGAATAAGGTTGTCAGTAAAATTGCTAAAATGTATGTTGGTTAGATTGAATTTGCTGTTACACGAATAAAGTTTGGCTTTTATAATTTCTGATGATCATTACTGTGAATTAAGTTTCATCCCCTGCTGGGACAGTGGTAAGTCTATAGATTTACAACACTAAAATCAGGAGTTCAACTCCCCTCAGTGGACATGGCAGATAGCCCAATTTGGCTTTGCTATAAGAAAAACACACACACAGTAACAAGTTTCAAAGAAAAATGGATAAGGGAGTTAATAATTAATGAATAAAATTGGACACTGCTTTTAGTGTCATTAAATTAAATAGTTCTTGCTTTATCTGTAAAATAAATTAGAGTTAATGTCTCATTTTTCAAAATGTGTGTGTTTGTTTATTGTAGTCATTTGTGATTTTTTAATAAGATGTTGTGGCTGATTATATATTAGTTTATTTGGCATAACATATGACCTTTTTTGTGCTAATGTAGAAAGAACTTCAGCCAGATGATGGTCCTATTGGGTTAATTTTAGCCCCTACAAGAGAACTGGCACAACAGGTAAGCTGAGTATTCTAGACACTTTCCTGTGTTTGAACATTAATGTAATACTTTCACACATTTTCATTCTTACTATTTATTCTAAGGGGTCATCTTCAAGAAGAATGTAGATTATTTGGTATTAGAGGGATAAAATACTTAAACCAACTTTTCATTAATAATAATAAAAGTTATGCACGAAATTCAAACCAAACTTGATGTAGTAGAATAAAAGAATCTTTTCTAGTGCTTTTGATTTATTGATATATAATAATCAGTGTACAGATTGGTTGTGTTCTTTAAAGTCTAACTCTAGGTAGTTTTCCAAGTATGTGGTAGACTTTCTCTATCTTTAATGAAAATAATAAAATTGTAGAAACTTCTCCTTTGTTTCTATTTATGACAGAACATTTTCTAGTATAACAAGAGTTTAAATTAATCTAAGAAAAAAATAATGTGAAAAAGATTGTTTTATTCTTACCTCTTGTAACTGTCCAGTAACATAGTAAAGCTGACTGTTAAATCAATACTTGAGGCTGATTTTTTTCTTAATTAGTTAAATTTACTCTTTTTATTGATGAATGAATAGTTCGTTTATCTTTTATGCAAATTAAAAAAAAAACAATTTAGTGCTTTTATGCAAAAATAAGTAAATAGTGTGAACTTTTATTCCAAGCATGTGATATGCAAATGTGATAAGGTTTTGATGCATATGAAAAAAATTTAGGTGGAGATTTCTTAAAATTTATGTTTTCTACCTTTCTGTTTATTTGTGTGCCTGTCTTTCTCTCTGTCAGTTATAAGAAGAAAAAGAAATATTGAAACTTAGCAATAGTAACTTTTTTTGTACTAGCTTAGTATAAACATCGGCCTGCCTGTTTTTCTGTGCAACTGTTCTTGGAATCAGTGTGGCTTGATAATTGTTTATTGTAATTCTCTTATTCTTCCTGTAGATCTATATAGAAGCTAAACGATTTGGTAAAGTTTATGGGCTTCATGCAGCTTGTTGTTTTGGTGGAGGAAGCAAGTGGGAGCAGTCGAAGGCCTTGCAAGAAGGAGCAGAGATTGTTGTTGCTACACCTGTAAGTGTTTTTTGTATATGAGGAACTGCAGCATTTAAATATTCTACTGCTTATATTGACGTACATGATGACAATGGTTTTATAATTCTTAATAATATACTATTTTAATATAATGTCTGGTAATATGATTCTAATGTTTATGAGGTCTTGTGTAGATTAGCTTACCCAAATTCTGGCTATGAAATTGTTGTATCTCTGTGTTATATTTTGAAACTGAAATTTGTTATTGCAGTTTAGCTGTACTTTTTGCATACCACCAATTACTTTAGCTAGATTAGTATAAGATGATATTTATGTTTCAACATGTTTTATATGACATGTAGTCAAATTGTTTTTTAGAAGTAAATAGTATGTTGCATCAGGGCTTAATGAGGAATTTCTCTATACTTTTGAACACAACCAATTACAATTTAACAATGTAGAAATATAATTTTCAAAAGTTTTATGTACCTTGCTAACTTCAACCACTAATATTTTTCTCTAGAAATGATCTAGGCTACTCTTCAATAAATTGTATAAAATTCATTAAGATCAGTTTGAAACCAATATCATTTGTGCAAGCTATGGGATAGTTTGAATACTAGGCTGAAAACTGTGGCCATAAAAGTTCAGTAGTTTTTATCTTTAAACCTTTAAACATGGGTGGATGAAATTACCATCCACTTGACTAGCAAAGAACATTTATGCATCAAAAATATGGTAACTCTGTGCATTTTTCACAAAACCTTGTAGATTTTGTTAAAGTTTTTGAGTGTTTTGTATACAAAGAATGACATTATTCTAATTATGTCTTTCTAATGAAAATGTTATTTATCTATAGTAGTTATTTGCACTCGGAGTGTTAAAATAATTTGAGTGCAAGGTGATTTTCATTTTAAGTATAAAAATACTTTTCTTAATCCTATAGTTTCATATTTCATTAGCATAACCTCTAGAACCTCCTAAATGAATATCAAAAGTTTTTTAAGGTAAATGTTTATATTTCGTTTTCTTTACCATATCTCTAACCATTGTTTGATTATAATGTGAAATGAGCTCTTTGTAATGACTATACACATGTGTATGTAACATCTACATGTAGGCTAAATAGCTCAAACAAATCTGTTGAAGGTGGGCGTGGCAACTGTCAAGAGTTGAAAAATAAAAGACTTTTTCAACTGTATTCATTCAGAGAACTTTGAAATGAATGAGTCAAAAGGTTATGTAAGCATCTTATTTTCTAGATGTATTTCTACTCAGAGCCAAAGTTGAGAATTTTTGTAGCTTGTTGGTCATCAGACAATACATCTGAAGTTTAAGTAGTTTTTTAAAGGTTTCTTTTGAAATAAAGGGCTTAAAATTTAGATAACATAAAACTTTAAATCATAACATACATTATAATGTTAATTTCATTCACACATATATTGATATTAAAGGAGTTTAATTAAATTTTGAATGTAACACAGTGACATGCTCAGAAAAGGGGTTTAAAGGGGTACCTATCAAGAAAGGGTTAAGCATACAGCAAACAGTTCGGCATCATTATAGTTGTAAGAATGATGACAAACATAGTACCAGAAAGCTGTTACTTAGTTTTAAGGTCTCTTACTTTTTAGTTGCTTGTAGTACATATATGGCAATTGAATTTATTATCCCAATAAAAATTATGTTCAATACTATAAAGTTTAACTTTCAATCTAGTTCATTTAAAAATGCTTATAAAATTTTATAAAAGAACTAGCAAATGCCGTTGAAACAATTCAACAGTAAATTTCATAAAAATAATGAAGAATAAATAAAAAATGTGCAGTCAAACCAATATGTGTAATGATTGTCTAGTGGGCTGATTACAACTGTATTTTGTCATTTCATGTGTTATTTCAATAAGGAAAATTGTACTGTATTTATTTTTAAGCAAAGAAGACTGATTGCAATGTATTGTTATAAACAATGTTTGGGTTTGGATGGAATGGGGTGTATCCAGCACAGGTTTGCAAATTAGCCTCAGAAACTTTTTTTTTTGCTGGATCCTATTGTTTCTTATCAGTAAAGTGCAAGTAAAGAGTGCTACTGAAGTGAATACTTTCTGAAAGTTGTCATTTCTATCAAAAGTGTCAAAGGAGAGATATTCAATGCATTTCAAATCAATTTATTTGAAATGGTACAATTAGATTATGCATGTATATAATACTGACATGAAAACAAAAAAAATATATATGTAAAGAAACCAAACAACAACAAATATAAACTCAAAACAGTTTCCTTTATGTGTTTTTCCATTCATGCTTCTATGTTCAAAGTATGTTTTTCAATCAGTTGATTGAGAAATTCCCTCAAAAAAAAAACAACAAAAACATTATTGTTCTTAATAAGTTTTTCACTCAGATTAACCGTTTAGCACATACGAAGACTGATGGATCATTGTTGATATCGATATGAAATTTTAAGAATTGAAAAAAAAATTAATAATTTTGTACTGTATTGTACTCTTGAAAAAAAAGCATTTTCTTATTTATGATTAACTGTTCAGGAGATACAGAGTATGACAGACACACATTTGACTATTATATATATAGATTATAAAACCTAAAGCCTTAATGAAGTGAAATTGTTCGAATCATGTGAAACAATAGCTAGCAAAATAATTTTCTAATAATGGTTTTATTTGAGTATCATAACTCCTTCTAACTTCTGTGATTACTTTTGTTTAAATTAGAGATGAAAAATTGCTTTTTAACATTAGTTAGTCCTGTAGGAAGATTTTAAACTGTGAAACTGCAGTAGAGTTTATTTTAAAAAGATCGAAATAAATCAGCATTAGATTCAATTAGAGTTTATCTTATGCTCATACTTTCAAGTTTGCCTGTTAAATTTATTTACTAATGCATTGTACTATTACTGTAAATTTGAAATTTTTTGAGCTATCTTAATAATTTTTACAATAACTATTACACACAATTACAAACTGATTTAGTCACAATTTGCATCACAAGCATCACAGTCTCCTCTAACATTCTCCAAAAGTAATCAGAATAATTTGATTTGCCACTGCATTACAATATATAATTACAGTTGGAGTGTTATAGAATGAAAAATCTAGTGAAGAACAAAGAAATACCAAGTTTGTGTCTTAGGAACCAGTAATTTCTGTTTCCACCAGGGTAGAATGATTGATATGATCAAGATGAAAGCAACCAATTTGGAAAGAGTAACGTTTCTAGTGTTGGATGAAGCTGACCGAATGTTTGACATGGGATTCGGTAAGACAAAATAGTTTTATGGATAAGAAGTATTATAAACTTATATGTTGCAAGGGTGAACATATAATTATTTATTTAAGTTCTTTACCTCTCTTTTTTTCTCCCATAGATTAATTACTTAATTAATTAATTAGATTTACTTTTAAGATAAACACTGTCATGGAATATGATTGTGAATTCAATTTCAGTGATTTAAACAGAAAATATAGAACCAGAAGTATTGCAAAAGAAGTCCAAGTATCTTAGTATCTTGTCATGTATTTATTTTGCACTCTCTAGATTGGAGCAAAACATATATTTGAGAGGCATATTTCTACATTTTTTTAAAGATTTTTTTTGATCTTCTGATACTAATTTTAGGTTTTAAGATTTAGAATGAGTTTTTTGTAAACATTTTCAGATATCCAAAAAACAGGTATAAATTTGTATTTTCAAGTTTCAAAAATATTTTTAAATGCAGTTAAGCTATATGAATAAGAAAAGTAATGGATATTTGTGGAATTGTAATAATGAAAAAGAGTAAGTGTATATTAACAGAAAAAAACTTCATGAAGGATTAACTGGTCTCTGTGTTAACTCACCATTATATATTAAAATAGTCATTGTGTATGTACCTAGAAGGAAGTAGAAGCTCTTTTTTTTGTATGTGTGCATGACAATAGTTGAATTAGGATGGGAACTTATTTTCCCCTTTTCAATGACATTTTTAAATTTGTGTCAAGAAGATTATTTGCTATTCATTAATTGACAGCAAACTAGCATCACCTATTGGTCAGAAGTGCCAAGTAATAATTGTTTTTTGTGAAAGGGTTACTGTAGTATTTAAAATTGTGTCAGAGTAAGAAATCATTTTTCTGTTTTTAGTTAAAAATTTCTGTTAAAAAGTGTTAAGTAGTTCATTGTTAATAGCATTTGTTGTTTTTGTTCAGTGCTTTTTACCCTAGCAGGGTGTGTTTGACTCATGCTATATCTCTTTTATGTTAATTTGAAGGTATACTGGTACGAGTGGACAAAAAAAAGAAAAATTGTATTATTGTAAACATAGTTTTTCTTCAGAATAAGTTTCCTCATGGTCATGTTTTTAATAGGAATCTAGTTAATTTTTTTCTGACTTTCAGTACATCAAGATCTTTCTGAATATTGATCTCCCTTCACCCGTGCTCTCTGAAAGTGTTTGGGTTTAATATTTGGTCTGATCAAAATATTTTTCTGCTGTTTTACATGAAACATCCTATTGGAAACAAAGAACTGTTTTTAATGTGGCACACTATTATGAAAGTACAAAATCTTAGTACTGTGAACTTACTGAGCTGTTTTGTGAAGAGAAACTTTTAAATTACACTATTAAAATTCTTTCTAGGTGCCAAGTTATATAAATATTTATTAACTATTTTATGTCTTACATTGTCAAGGCTTATTTAATATAAGTTAGTTAGTTGTAAAGTTAAGTTACCTTTGATAACTGATAATAATGTTTAGTTTGTATTTTCAAATCCTCACCGTGTGTGTAGAACCACAAGTTCGGTCCATCTGTGATCATGTAAGGCCAGACAGACAAAGTAAGTGGTGGTCTTTTTGAACTTTTTTTAGCTTATTAGAAATATTTTTTCATACATGTTTCATTACAAACAGATAGATATTTGGTAAAGAATACATTAATCATGATTTCATTTCTAAGGATAAATATATGTGTGTGTGTTGTTTATAATTATGTTACATTTTAAGGTATGTCTTAGAAAAATATTTGCTAAGATCAAGAAAAAAAATATTTTAGTATGTTTTCATGTTTCTTTTTGTAATGAAAATGTAGTTTGCATATAAATTACCCCAAACTTAATTTCTTAAAACAGTTATTGAGTTTGTAATTTTAGCTCACCTATGTGGAAGTAGAGTTTATGCTGTATAATGATGTAACTTTTATTTGCTCTTGTACATTTTGTTGTATTTTTTATATTTTTTTGCAGGTTTTTGTATTTTTTAAGACTTTTTTTAGGTAACTTCATGATACTGGCTTTGAAAACTAAACCAAAGTATTTCTAGTGGAACTAGGTCATTAAGTGTTTTTAAAATTTGGCTGGAAATGTCTTCAATGTTTAGAAGTAATTATCCAGTTATTGTAAAATATTTTAATGAAAAGCTTTGCTATTTGGATTTCTTTATCATTAAAGATTGGATTGTTCTATTTTTGGAGTTTATTTTTGTGACCTATTTCCTGTATCCAAAAATTTTATACCTTTTTGAAGGATATTTTCTTTAGAGTGTTAGAAACACTTTGTCATGGTTAGATCTTATTCAGTTTTGGGAAACAGGGCTGATTTTTTTTAGGTTTTTAATCCTGCATGCATGGGTGGGGATCAAAGTATGCATGCCATGACCTTTTACAGAGTGGCATTCAACATGGCATTGTGTGTTTGATGTCAGAGTTATCAACTATTCAATTTATGTTGCTGATTTGGTGATAGTGCATTGTAGAGTAACTACCAGATACAATATAAGGATACTGAAAAAAAACTGTAGATATATATATTTTGAGGTTCTAGAGGTTATGGAAATGCAGTATGTGAATGTATGAATGACAAAACCGTTTTTATTCTTCTCATTACCATTACTTGTTGGAGTATGAGCCAGACTAACCTTGTCAATTTACATACATATCTTGAGTACAAATACTCTTTTAATGCATCTAATTTTTTTGTATACAATGAATTTGTACATTTTACTAGAAGCTTATTGCATTTTATGTAGATACACATAGTATATTCAGAATTATGGTCAACAGTCCTTCTGATCCCATGCAAATTGCTTAACACATTTGCCACTAATGATATGTTAGCATTGATCATTTATATTAGTCAAATGCTACTGCTGCGTTAACATGTCAGTAAGAAAAGGGACTATAACTACGTGTGAGTGTACAGATAAACAGTTCCTAAGTGCTTTACAATGATTATGTGTGTGCTGCCCTTTTGTGAATGACAGAAAAACATTTTCGCAGAAGTGACCTGAGATTTCTTCAGTGATTTGTTTTGGCTACCATTATAGTTACAAGATGGCAGGGTTGTGCAAACATTTTAGTCTGAGTGAAACTGTGAGTATTTTACGAGAATATGAGTCATTTGAGGAGCGATGTAGATAGGAATAGTAATTCTGAGTCTAGTGATTCTGAGTCTGATGATGAAAGAGGCCTACATTACGTTCACACTGATTTGTCCATAGCTGGCACTGCTGATCCAGATGGTGACATTGGAATACCAACATCACTTGATGGATGGCAGACTGTCCAGGCTACATATATTAGTCCAACTGATATTTTTTTACTACACAGCCTCAAGTGGTTTGCCACTGGAAGCTGTTCCAGTTGATATTTTCAAACTGGTTGTGAAGGAGGATGTTGTGAATATGATGATCACTGAAACAAATAGGTTTGCTCAAAAGTTCTTGGAACTGAACTGCCTAAAGCCTAAAAACAGAAGGCATCAGTGGTCTGAAACTGGTGCATCTGAAATAAGAAAATTTCTTAGAGTTATTTTCATCATGGACATCGTGTAAAAAAGACATTGATAAAGGATTACTGGTCAATTGGTCTAGTACTGGCTACTTCAGTTGTCAATACTTTTATGCTAAATTATTGTTTAGAACTGTTCTAAAGTTTTGGCACTTTAGCAATAATAAATGAGTGCCAGGTGCCTATTTGACACATGTAAACAACACAAGTCACAAAACGTTATTGACTTAGTACATGGGTTAAAGTTGTTGCAGTGGAAAATATGATATTCCTTCAATTTAATTTGGACACTCCTTAGTTAACTATTTTTTTTAACAGGTAAAATTTTGAAAAGAACTATTGCCACACTTTAAGTCTTGTGTATGTCCTAAACTTCATGCTCATGCTAGTTTTATACTGTGTAGTTTTCATTATTGATTGCATTTTTGTTTGGTACCATGATTTAGTTCAAATGTGCTTTTCTCAAAATTAAAAGAGGAGTAACATTACTCATATATCATGTTCAAAGAAAGAATGATTAACTATGGAAAATAGTAATGTGCAATCTGATTTTTAAAGAATGTATAATATATGTGAATATTTTGATATGTGTGTGTGAGAAATTAATATGATTAAAACACTTCTTGTTTTATAGTACAATAAAATATTATCGTTAGTGAATGTAAAATTCTTTTTACACACAAGAATTGTTAGTTAAATTTCAGGAATAGTTTGTTTCTTAAACTGTACTTCTCCAGATTGCAACAAACTTTAGGTGACTACCATGTAAGAGGTTGATTAAGCAATGAAAGTGATTTTTTAAGTGTTGAAGTAATTTTTTTATTTCACTACCTGAATAATGTTTTATTGATGTGGCTCTCAGATAGTCTGTTTTGGGAAACTACATACATTTGGATAATGAATAATGTTTTATTGATATGACTCTCAGATAGTCTCTATTTTGGGAAACTACATAAATTTGGATGATGAATAATGTTTTATTGATGTGGCTCTTAGATAGTGTCTGTATTTTTGGGAAACTACATAAATTTGGATGGAAAAATTTATACCAAGTCTATTAGTGAGCAAAAGAGGAAGTTGAAGAGTTATCAACATACAAAAGACACAAATCAAACTAGTCTAGCCTAACTATGATTACATCTTTTAATACAGAGATATTTTGTGTGTGTCTTATTATTTTTCTCCTCAAAAATCCACAAAGTTTAAAAGATAATTTTACAGTTTGTACACTTATGATTGTTTAAGAATAGTCGTTATAATTGATTTTTGATGAGAACTTGGTGTTGATCGCTCTATATTTAGAAGTTGTACTTAGCTATACTTAAGGTGTTGGAAAAGTCGTACAATTTCATTAAGCAAATTGAAATAAACATAATATCAGGTCTGAAAGTCCAAATCAATGTTAGAATAATAATAATACCTTGTTTTTGCTGTATAAACGTATGTTAGATGGGACATATTTCCTTTCTCTTTTTGAATAGTGTAGAAGTATCATACAACTTCCTGTATGAGGATTGATATAGTAACTGCACAAGACCTTCTAGAAGAACTGTTAATTGAAGATCAATATTAACAGTTTACTTAAGAAACTTAAATTATATTCATTTAATAACTGCATTCATCTGTTTGTTTATAGGTATTTATGTTATTTTTGTAATGCATATTGTAGTAATGATATTTTAGTATGATATAGTTTTTGTAGTAAAACATTAATCAGGATTAAATGTCTCCCTGGACTTTGTACATTTTATCACAGAATTAGTAATGTATTCAGTTGGGAGTAAAAACATTTCATCCAAGAAATAAAATTTATCAGGACAAAATAAGAGTAATAAAGAGCATTATGTGTCTTCTAAGAAAGTATTTAAAAACCAAATGATAGGTTTTTATGTTCTTCTGTGTAAAAGTCCAAATAATCGTTTACTTTCACAAATATTAATCAGTATTTCTGTAACTTAAAAATTGACATATTTTTCTATATTACAACAAAATGTTAAATAAATAAAATGATTGAATTGACATGCAAGAATGCAATCCTTGTTTTTGCTGTTTCATAGGTTAAATGTGGACACAAATGCTGTTTATATATGCATTTTATTTAGGCTTTTTTATGATTAAATTTCCAAACATTTTAATTTTGCTCATGCAATCTCTTTTATTGTTTTATTACAGCCCTGATGTTTAGTGCCACATTTAAAAGGAGAATTGAACGACTGGCACGAGATGTGTTGACAGATCCCGTGAAAGTTATTCAGGGAGAACTTGGAGAAGCCAATGAGGATGTAACCCAGTTTGTTTTGGTATTGCCACATGGACCTTCTAAGTGGGCATGGCTGTGCAACAAACTTGTAGAGCTAACTTCAAGTAATTTTCTATTATTTTTGATAATTTTTTTTCTCCTACTGAGTCTGACTTAGTGATGGTCCTAGATGGCATTTTCATATAAATTTATTTATCATGTTTGTTGTTTATTAGTATTTAGAGAAACATATTACTGAAAAGAATAAAAACATTTACCTATCCATCTAAAATGATGTTTTGTAGATTTAGTAATGCATCATATTAAAATTAAATATCTCATTAAGTGAAATTGACCTTTTGTTCTTTATCCCTTTCTGGACCAGAGAGTTGTCTCTGAAACCCTTTTTCCTTCTCACAGTGGAATCTATAACAAACTTAATATTTTGCCATTGAAGAAAATTTCCAAATATTTCAAACAAATAATTTTTAACACAAAAACTTTTTCAGGAATGTAAGGAACATTGACAGAAACTATAGAAAAATTTTCACAATATTTTGTTGTTCTTTACTACATGAGCTTATTAATCTTGTTACTTTCCTGCAAGACCATAAATTACTTTTCACACCACTTATAAATAGTATATGACATGCTTTAGTGACGGGTATTCATATATTACTTGTAGCTAGGGGTGAAATTCTGACAAAAAAAAAGTGCAGTACTCTTATGCACATACAATAAAGGAGTTTTCTTATGTGTAACTTATAATATAGTTTACAGAAAGGAAATACATACAACCATTGTTTTGATGGTTTTAAAAAAACATATATATTAAACAAGCAATTCAGATCTTTATATATTTTTGCTTCCCATTATGTTAAATGATAAAAATACATTATATGCACTAATATCAGTGGTGGGTGTTGATCACAGTGCATCAACCAATAAAATGCATCATTTGGATATTTACTGTTATTGACCAAGCATACAAATCACACAGCCAGATGAGACTACTCAACTTGTTTAACAATTACTGACATCGAAGGGGCTAAATAACTTCTTATGATCTTGTTGCTAACAAGATCCAGTTTCTTTAGTCATTTGTTGGCACATAGAAGAATATTTAATGATTTGTTTAGATTCTTTGAGTTCTGACGTGTCTGCTTTCTGACAGTACAATGGAAGGCATGCAGGTTGATGAAAAGCGGATCATGTAAGTCCCAGTACTGAGTACTGGCGAGTATCTGCAGAATTGCATCCATGCATGTTACTGTTTTTAAAGCTCAGCTTCATTAGTAGTTGTTCACATTGCATGCTGTAAGGTTATAAAAGGGTGGGAACAAGAAGTTGTACTAATGAAATCTGATAGAGAAATGGAAAAATATGAGAATTAAAACCTAGGGAATTATATACTTAGTGGATGATAATTTTTTTAACAAATATAAATCTATGCTTTGGGATGGGGGGGGTTAGTAAAAAATCTATAAGTACATTGTTTAGACTCAACTTCTGGGAGATATGCAAAAATGTAAGTTGTAAAGTTTTTCCATTTTCATATGTGAGTTACACTAAATAAATGTTAGAAAATGACAAAATATAAGTTGTAAAGTATTTTTTAGTGAAAATGATGATTGAAATAATGGTAGAATTTTCATTTTTACCTAAAGTTGGAAGATGCTAACTGGTTCATATAGGGTTAAGCAGCTTGCTTTCCCATTGAACTTATGAAAACATAGTTTTGTTCCATAACTTCATAAATTGAATGGGGGAAAAATTGTTTAATAGAGAAAAGAAATCTATGTTTATATTTTGTTGTGTAAAAACCTCCTTCATTTTTATTTTCACTCTTAATATAGTAGCACGCTTGCATAAAAAGAAATTAAGTTGAAGTTACCAACCCAGGCCAACAAGAACTTCATATTTTATTTCTGAGTAAATTTACAATTATACAAACAAATGTATTTTAGATCAGAAAGAATCTAGAATGTGGAAGATGTAAACAAATCAACTGAAAAATGGAAAATTATCCATTGCTGAAAAAATACAATTGCTTCGAAGTTCAGTTTGGGGAGATTTTTTCTTAATTTGGAGTTTTTAATGTTATGTTAATGTATTATTGATAACTTAGTGGTTGAAAAGGAAGTATGGTTAAACAAACGCCCCTCTAAACATAGTATCCTACTATTAGAACTAACACAACATTTATAACTATAATACACTGTCAAAAATATCTGAAAACAGAAAAATTAACTTACTTAGGATCCATGCAAGCTCTTTTTTTGTTAATTTAAAAACTTGTAAGGAAAAGCCATATTTGACTTTAAAGTATGTTAATTTTTCCTAATTTTGTAAACCTTGACTTCTGGCACTTTGCAAGCTACATAAACTAATATAGGTGACTTTCACATGTAAAATCAATATGTAATAACTTTTATTTATAAATTATTTTGAGAATCTTTGATAAGAATTTTTTAGACTCTTCAAAACTTTTGTTATTAAAAATGATTTTGATTCAAAGAACTGTATTTTTGTATTCTAAGTACCTTGCATTAAAGTGACTAATAAAATATAATAATAACACATTTTATTTTCAGCGGGGAGTGTTCTAATTTTTGTAACAAGAAAGGCAAACAGTGAAGAACTTGCGACCAATCTTAAAGTAAAAGAATTTGATGGTGAGTTTCAAAGAATGTTTTGGTTTTTAATTTGAGTCTAAAAACCACATAAAACTCTCTTGTTCTTACTATTATGTCATTAACAAAGTTGTTAAAGTAATGACTATTTAACTAATACCTTTCAAAATCATACTGTCGCCTACTTTAAAAGACTAGTGAAGTCCCGTAAGTAAAACTTAAAGCATCATTATATATGACTAGCTGAGGTACCCATCCTTTGTCTGTGTTATGAACTTAAAAAATGTGTGGGTGGGTGCTATGATAAATAATGCAAAAAATTCTAATTTTCATAATATTTATTTATAACATAACATATTATAGTATTCATTATTATCTCCCCAAGAGTTTTGTATAAGCTTTAAGAACTTACTATATATACGTAAAACATGATATACACTGTGCGATGGTCAAGGTGACCATGTAGGACGAGGTAGTGGCCAAAGTAGTGGTGGTAGAGGGTGCTTTCTGGTACCTGCTTTCAACACCCAGTTCTTAATGTCCTTCCATGGTGTTTCACATGATTAATTAATAGATGGTCATTGGCTGCACAATTGTCTTACGGGCTGAAGTTGAAAGGTCACGGGTCAAAGTAGGAAGTTGGTATAACTCAAAAAATGGCTCTTCATATAAGCCTTATGGTGGTTGTTGGAGTAGAAACTTCAGCTGAGTTAATGTAGTATTGCAATAGTGGCAGCCATTTTTTTCATTACATTGCTTCATAGAGTAGTACTAGCAACAACACTGATATAATATATATATATATATATATATATATATATAGTATATAGTCTTTACGTGTCCTCTACGTACTTATTAGTACTTAG